TGCTAACAGGTTCACGCTGCTAACAGGACCATGCTGCTAACAGGACCATGCTGCTAACAGGACCGTGCTGCTAACAGGTTCACGCTGCTAACAGGACCATGCTGCTAACAGGACCGTGCTGCTAACAGAACCATGCTGCTAACAGGTTCACGCTGCTAACAGGACCATGCTGCTAACAGGACCATGCTGCTAACAGGACCATGCTGCTAACAGGTTCACACTGCTAACAGGACCATGCTGCTAACAGGCCCACACTGCTAACAGGCCCACACTGCTAACAGGACCATGCTGCTAACAGGACCATGCTGCTAACAGGTTCACACTGCTAACAGGACCATGCTGCTAACAGGACCATGCTGCTAACAGGTTCACGCTGCTAACAGGCCCACGCTGCTAACAGGCCCACGCTGCTAACAGGCCCACGCTGCTAACAGGACCATGCTGCTAACAGGTTCACACTGCTAGCAGGACCACACTGCTAGCAGGACTCCCTCTTGGTTTTCAAGTCCCGTTTAAAAACCCACTACTATTCGGAGGATTTCAACACCAGATGATCTGTGTTTTGATCCTGTACTCTCCACACTGGTTTGTCGTCATTATCTGCATCGTTTTTATGTCTATATTCTGATTTACTTCATTTTGTATTTTGCTTTGTGTGTTACCTGTTGTTCTGTCTGTACAGCACTTTGGTTGGCCTTGTCCCTGTTTAAAGTGCTCTATAAATAAAATGGTATGGTATGGACCATGCTGCTAACAGGACCACACTGGTAACAGGACTATGCTGCAAACAGGACCATGCTGCTAACAGGACCACACTGCTAGCCATACATATATGTATGTTGTTAAATTACGTAGGTTTAAGAGTTCCGAACATTGTTAAGAACATTGCAAGAGTACGGGAAGGGTTTCTAAAGCCTTACAATATATATTATTACTCAAGCAAATATAACGTCCCTACTTCGCGGATTTCCACTTATTGCAAGGGGGTCTGGAACATAACCCCCGTAATAAACGAGGGACTACGGTATCTAACAGGTAAGATATTAACTGTTCCTAACTTTTTCAGAAAATTCCACTCCACATGATCAAAACTATTATACTGAAACAAATACCAACCATACTTTGAACAATATGCTGTTTGGTATAATCAGTACTTGTTTTATAATTTTTGTTACATAATGAACGGTGTGGTTGAAGGAGAATGGGACGTTACATGCAGCGGGGTACATGCACAGAGAAAAAATAAAACACCAACCATGTTGTCGGTTTGATTGATGCCCAGCAGGAAGACGAGCTCAGAGAAGAAGAGCGTCGCCACCAGGTTCCTGTGGATGGCGAGCAGGTTGGAGCGGAGCCGATAGAGGAGGCAGAGCAGGATGAAGGTGATGAGGAGGAGGAACAGTGACACCGACACTGTGGCGTAGGTGACGATCTTCAGCGGGAGGACGTCTTTATGCTGTAAAGAAATCAGGGTCAGGAGAAGCAAGTTTTAAAATAAAGCGGTGAACTTTTTTTTTTTTTTTACCGTACCTCTCTCTTGGAAATGTCCATCAGCACTGCAAAGCTGGTCATGTGATCACACTGGCAGCTAATGTGGCTGTTGTTCCTGTTGAGCACCTCGCAGCCTTTAGACGACCAGCCGCCGGTACCCCTACTCCTAAAAAAGTAACAAAACATCATGTCAGCATAAAAGAAAAACCTATCCACGATTGTAATTCTTTAAAAACTCACCCGATGGAGTGGTCCCAGTACACACAGACGGGTTTGGTTCGCTCCTCTGTCTCCAGCAGGGTGTACTCCAAGGTGATGGGGGGGTCCAGGACAGGAGGGAGGGGTTGGCCTTCACTGTGAACGGTGGCGCTCACGATGGCTGTGTTTATCACTGGACGGTTGGGGAGCCTACAACGAAAACGCACACATTTAGAGCTATCGTGACCTCCATCGTTCATGCAACCATGTATTAGCAAGTCTTTCTGTATTTTATCAAGTAACTACTTCTGAATACTTTATGCTACTTGAGCCATTCATGTATCAAAACGTTCAGCTCGTTCAGCAGATGACGGCTGTGATCTTTCTTTTCATAACTCGTATATTTTTCAAAATATTTTACTTTATTAATAAATATTTTAAGATCTTTTCAGTTAGCCCCATGTCCCCAAATTATTTTTTTTTTTTTTTTGCTTTAGCAAACTTAGCTCTATTTGTCTTCTGACACTACTTTTAGCTTTTGTTCTACTAGTATTAGTCAAGTCAACTTTATTTATAAAGCACATTTAAAACAGCAGCTGTTACCAAAGTGCTTAACAATAAAAATCAATGGAGATTAACAGAGTTTGTTTATTAAAATTAAAAGTCAGAGTCTAAAACAGTTATTTTTTAACAGTCTGTCTTGTAAATCAGTCCTCGAGGCTCAATGGGATCTAACCTGTATAAATAAAGATTAAATGAATAAAACCATCCCGAGATTTGTAACAGGCTGTTTACGATATGGCTCAAGAGAGTCAAGGTTTACAGGATCAGAGACAGCGGTAGAGCTAGGGCTAAACGGGATGACTTCAGTCTTCTGATCACTAAAACTTAAAAAAATTGAAGCCATCCATGCCTTAATGTCATCAAGACAGAGGATGAATGGAGTGAGAGCTATTAGGTTTTAAGGGCAGATAAATCTGACAATCATCAGCATAGCAGTGAAAACAAAGACCATGTTTCCTCAGGACAGACCCCAAAGGGAGCAGATAGACTGAAAACAGAAGGGGTCCAAGAATGGAGCCCTGTGGGACCCCGCAGGAAAGATTAGATTAGCTTCTAGTCTTTTGCTACTTTTAACTAGGCTTTTGCTACTTTTAACCACTTTTAGATAGGCTTAAACTGCTTTTGGTCTTTGCTACCATTCTACTATTTTTAGCTTTTATCTAGTCTTTCTCTACTTTTAGCTTTTAGGATATTTTCAGCTTTAAGCCAGGCTTTTGCTACTTTAACATTTAGCCAATCCTTTGCTGCTTTTAGCTAGCCTTTCGTTACTTTTAGCTAACTTTTATTGATGATTTTAGCTAATGTTTGACTAGTTTTAGCATTTAGTATTTTGCTACTTTTAGGTTTAATACTCAGTTTGAGCTTTTTCAGTAAATTTCAGCCGTCATTCAATACTCAGCATTCATTCTGCATTTCTACAGAAAATGCAACTTCTCCAGCCTGAACGGTAGTTTAAGCTTTCTTTTGTTCAGTTTTTAACACACCAACACAAGGGCTACAATCCACGGCTTTTTGTTTTTATAAAAGTACCTCAGACTCCTGCGGTCCGGGTCGTATCTTTCTGGAAGGAGCTGACCCAGAGACTTGTACACAATAACAACAGCTACAGGCAGAGAAGCAGCTGGCTCCAGGTGGCGCCTTCTTCTATCAGACACAGTGTGCTCCTCCTCCTCCAGCGGGGGGTTGGTCTGGGTCGGAAGGGCAGGCGTGGGCTCTTCGGGGTTCAAAAGAACATGGAGCTCAAGACCAGAGCAGCAAAAACAGTAAAAGCTGTAGTTATTTGGACATTCTTACCGTTTTGGACGTGATTACGCAAGTTAAAATATGGAAAGTGGACAGAAGACCCGAGCTCTTTGGGGTAGGTCTCTTGGATGTCCTGGAACCGAGGTAACGCTGCCCTCTCTGGGTCCGACACATCCAAGTAGTCCACGGTTAGAACTGTGGAAAAGACGAATTAAAAAAATAAAGAAAAGAGGTGAAAGTGGGAGTATTTCATATGTTTTGTGAAAATTTGCATTTTCAGAGTTCGGATGCGGTTCCACGACTCACTCATGTTGTCCGTGACGATGGTGAAAGGTTTCAGGTAGGTCTTCCTGACATTTTGTGCCAAGGTGTTCGCATAGTCCTCAAAGTTGCGGAGCAGGTGTGCGGTGCCGCCCTCCGTCTTCTGGATTTGCTCCCAGTGCTCCTTGGTGTCAGGATCCAGGATGGCACTGCCAGCTCGGACCAAATTCTACAAACGTCCAACACATAAACAAACTACTACCAGAAACCAGAAACGAAAAAAAATCCACATAAACAAATTAAATTCTCTCTGTTCTACCTCATTGAACTCTGCATCCTTCATGGCGCTGAGGTCGAAGCCGGACTGCTTGCTCTCGTATCGCAGCACGTGGTTCAGCAGTTGGGCCGCCGTCTTCACGTCGTTGCCAAAGAAATGCGGCTTCTTGTTCGTCGCACCGTGGAGCATACGCACGATGGCTTTGGACTGTTCGCCGTCCAGCCGCGAACTGTTGCGACGCAGGTCCTCGTTCTGGACAAAGGAGCAGGAGAATAAAAAATAAAAAAAACTGAAGGGGGCGTTTTATTTTCGTTTCGTTTTATCCTGAGAGACGCTCACCAGTTTCTTCAGCCGAGAGAAGGTGGCGGTGGTGGTGCAGTTAAAAAGGTCAGGCGACAACCAGCCCTTCTCATCACTACAGTGTCGAATGGCAGTGCCTGGAGGACAAAATACATCTTAGAAAACTGAAAATAAAGAAACGTTTTTCAGGAATTACATTTCCATACATGACAAATGGAATTCGGCAAATAAAAACATTAAAAACTGGCAGTTTTTGAAGGAATGTCTGTCGTTCCCAACCTTGTATGCTTAAGATATTTAAACAAAGATCTGGCGTGATCACATTACTGTCTGTTACCATTGTTGATGAGTGCTCATAACATAAAATGTTTGCTGTCGTCAGTGAACTGAATAATAAGGTGCACGTCAGGATTTAACAGCAAAGCTATGTGATATGTTGAAGGAGACAATAATCTAGACAAACCGAGTCTGTAGGCCTGTCACGATACACAATAAATCAATTAATCGCACGATAAATGAAAAGTATTGACCTCATTTTCATTTATCGGCTTTATTGTTCCTTCGTGTCTCTCTTTCTACCGAAGACACTGGATGACAAAAGGCTCAACTCTGGTGCTCTTCACTGACCCCTTTCTTTCTCTTTAAAATCCATTTTAACGATCCAAAATCACGTTTTTGGATCGTTAAAAGCAGCTAAGCTGGGAAGCTAAGCTACGAGCTAAGCTAACAGGCCGATCTCAGGAAAACATTTCCGTCTTATCAAATCTCCAAAATTCACGGTTGAAACCCGTGCCTTCGTGTAGAAAGTTGTTTTTCTCTGCAAAAAGAAGCTGAGAACTTGTTTACTGAGCTCAAACCACACCGAGTGTCTGCCATTTTGAGAACCAAAAAAAGGAAGGCGAGACAGCCCATGTCACGTCATATTTCCCTCCCATTTTTCTTAAAGAGACACACTGCTCACTCCCTCGCTATCCATCCTTGGGTTCAAACAGCCTTATACTGCCATACGGTGGTCAAAAAAAGGCACTACACTCAAAACAAATTAACCGACATTTCTTCTTAAATTTGACAATTTTTCAAATTATTGTCAAATTTCTAACAATATTATCGTTTATCGCAATAATTTCTGAGACAATTAATCGACAAGCAAAATTTGTTATTGTGACAAGGCCAACGAGTTTGTTGGTTCGCTAATCAACAGCACTGTCAAAACAACAAAGTTATGGTCACGTTCACCATAGTGATTGTGGTGTATTTGAACCCTTGCTTTGGTTACGTTCAGTAATAAAAATTTCAACCAGTTCAGGTATTTAGAGACTACAGGTTACACACCGATGGACCCTTTGGGACAGTTCATGGCAGCTGGACCTCCAAACTTGGTCTTGGGCCACCAGATTCCAGCATCAAACGCTTTGGGGCAGCCTTGGTACACCACTGCACAGAGAAGAGAAGTTTAAAACACAACAAATATTTATACAGCTGAGAGTTACGATTTAAATGTATCTGTTTTTTATCTTTACTTCATGATGTCGCCTTTCTGATTTACTGCCTTATTTAAATCAGCGAGTCACACAGGGACGTTTAAAATAAATTAAACTAGAGAAATTGCATTTCCTACAAAAATGCTTATTGCTGAAAAACAGCTGAAATTAGCTAAAAACATGCTGAAATGCAAAAACAAGCCCAAGTTAGCAGAAGAAAGCAGAAAAAACACGTGCTGAAATAGGTTTAAATAGGCAGAAATGAGAATAAAAATTAGCTACAAAACAGAAGAAGCTGAAATTAGGGAAAAAAAAGGCTGGAAAAAAAAAGCTAAAAAGTTTAAACTACCAGAAGGAAGTGGAAAGAACTAAAATGAGCTTAAAAATGTGGAATTAGCTGAACAAGCTAAATTTAGCACAAAACTGCTAAAAAGTAGCTGAAAATGCAGAAAAAAAATGAAAGGATCGTAACAAGCTGAAATTAGCAGAAAGAAGTGAATTAGATCTGAAAACAGCTGAAATTAGCTAAAATTATGAAAAAGTAGCTAAAAGGTAGAACAAGCTTAAATTAGCAGAAGAAAGCAGAAAGAACACGCTTGTTGAAAGAAGCAAAAATGAGCACAAAAACGCGGAAATCATGTTAAAAAAGCTATAATGAGCTGTAAAGTAACTAAAAAGGCAGAAAGAAGCTGAAATTACAAGAATGAAGTGGAGAGAGCACGTTTTTGCAGAATTAGGCTGAAAAAGTTCAGATGAGTGCAAAAAAATGTGGAATTGGCTGAAAAGGCTTTAATTAGCATAAAAACAGCTATATAGTAGCTGAAATAGTAGAAAAAGCTGAAACTTGCAGAAATAAGCTGAAAGGAGCAAAACAAGCCGAAATTAGCAGAAAGAAGTTAGAAGAAGCACAAAAATGTTGTAGTTAGCAGAAAGAAGCTGAAAGGAGTGCCTAACCACTGAAAAAAACAGCTGAAATTAGCTGAAAGTAGCTGAAAAAAGATTAAATTTGCACAAGGAAGCTGAAAGAAGCTGAAGCAAAACAAAAGGTGAAAGGAGCAGTAAAAGGTTGTGAACAGATCTAAAGATATGAAAGATGTAAAATGAGCTAAATTAATTTTCTCTGAGGAAAAAAAAATGGCAGAAAAGGCTAAATATTTCAAAAAGCTAAAGTTGCACCAATACCAAAAGCCATAGCAGCCTTCTCTTGGAGGAGCTAAACGTTTTGATAAACGATTTGTTGAAATAACTTGAAAACTGCAGGACGAGAATTGTGCAAAAAAAAAACCCGTACGGAAGAAAAATGGATCACAGAAGAGTCATGAGCGTTCCAACAAGTGCTTCTGGTGGCTCCTTCGGCTAGAAAACAAAGCATGACTCAGCAGAAAGCTACAGTGACGTTAACAGGAATGTTTCCCAGAGCTTCACGGTCTTCAAGGCTGCGCTTGGTGCAGAGCTGACAGATCGGAGTAAAACCCGTGGAGGGTCGTCACGCCTCACAGAACAAAAACCAAACAGAGCTCTTCTGCATTTCATCCTTTCGTCTTTTTCCCTTCTCACGTTTGTTCCCTTCATCTATTTGGTTTTATCGATCTGAAAAAAGTGTTGAAAGCTTTAGCGTTTAAGGCAACAGCTTCAGAAGAACAATTGGGATTTTAGGTGTTAAAAGTCAAAACATGTCCCTGGACTGAACAGCTTTACGCCGGGTCAACTAACAAGAACACTGAGGCTTGTTTCTGTTTTCATTTATCTTTACTGGTTTGTGCGAGTCCCGTGTTGCTGCCAGTTCAGTCTTTGAGCCAGACTCGCCTCTTCTGCTCCACTGGTTGGTGACAAAAGAGCCGAAGCGAGCCCGAATGCAGCACCGGCGGATGTGAGTGACGGTATTTGTTTCGTTTGGACAGTTCGTCAATTCATCCAGGCTGACTTGGTGAACCCAGAACATTTGGAGGAACAACGCATCACACTTTGAAATTATTTTCTAATTAATGCCACTTTGTGTTCTCACATTTTAAAATGCTTGTTCCCAATTATTAATACATACAACTCTATTTATCAACAAATAATATTATATAAAATATCAAAGTCTAACTAGAGAAACTGCATTTCCTGCAAAAATGCAGTGAAAATGTTATTTGGAGAAGAATTTTCTGAAAAACAGCTGAAATGTAGCTGAAACGGAAGAACAAGCCTTAATTAGCAGAAGAAAGCAGAAAGAACACATATTTGCTGAATTAGGTTTAAATAAGCAAAAATTAGCACAAAAAATAGGAAATTAGCTAAAAAAAAATCTGAAATTAGCAACAACAACAAAAAGCTGAAAAGTAGCTGAAAAAGCAGAAATAAGCTTAAACTACCAGAAGGAAGCTGAAAGAGCTGAAATGAGCTACAAAAATGTAGAATTGGCTGAAATGGTTAAAACTGGTATGAAAGCAGCTAAAAAGTAGCTGAAATAGTAGAAAAATTTAAAACTAGAGGAAAAAAGCTGAAAGGAGCATAATAAACTGAAATCAGAAGAAATTAGTTAATTAGGTTGAAAGGAGCAATAATTACCAAGAAAAACTTGGAATTCATCTCAAAACAGCTGAAATTAGCTAAAAATGCTAACAAGGTAGCTGAAAAGGTAGAATAAGTTTAAATTAGCGTAAAAAAGCAGAAAGAACACATAATTGCTCAATTAGGGTGAAGGAAGCAGAAATGAGCATGAAAAAGTAGAAATTTTCTGAAAAAAGCAGGAATTAGAAAAAAACAGCTGAAAAGCAGCTAAAAGACAGAAAGAAGCTTAAATAACCAGAAAGAAGTGCAGAGAGCACTTTTTTTGTTGTTGTTGCTGAATTAGGCTGAAAAAAGTTGAAATGGTGCAACAAATGTGTAATTAGCTGAAAAAGCTAAAATGAGCATAAAACAGCTAAATAGTAGCTGAAATAGCAGAAACAGCTGAAACTTGCAGAAATAAGCTGAAAGGAGCATAACAAGCTGAAATTAGCAGAAAGAAGTTAGAAGAAGCATAAAAACGTTGTAGTTAAAAGAAAGAATCTAAAAGGATCACAAAACAGCTGAAAAACAGCTGAAATTAGCAGAATTTTTTTTAAATTTGCACAAGGAAGCTGAAAGAAGCTGAAGCAGAACAAAATGTGAAAGGAGCAGTAAAAGGTTGTAAACACATCTAAAGATGTGAAAAATGTAAAATGAGCTCAGTTCATCTTTTTTGAGGGAAAAAAGTGGCAGAAAAGGCTAAATATTTCAAAAAGCTAAAGTTGCATCAAAATCACAGCTGAATGTTTTGATATTTGTTGAAACAGCTTGAAAACTGCGGGATGAGAATCGTGTCGAAAAACGCATGGAGGAAAAATGGATCACATTAGAGTGAACGCTTCGTAAACGTTCACACAATAATGTAGATTTTTATACCGTTTTTCCTGGTTTAATAAAAGTCAGCAAAGAGGAAAAAGCAGAAGTTTTTTTTTTCTACTTACCCTCACATCCAGAGTTGGTTACTTCGGCAAACGGGTTGTCACAGCGGTTACACTGACGCCCGATGACCCCTCCCTTGCAGGGGCACTGCCCGGTGTCGGGGTTGCAAGACCGAGACAAGGAGCCGAGAGAGAAACAATCGCAGGGGTGGCAGGTGTCCTCATCCTCGGGACGATAGTGATTCTCCTGGAGATGACACAAAGGATAGACTTTGATCGTTGTGGGGAGAAGAGCGATGCATTTTTTAATTCTTGAGGGCTAATTTAACAAAACGGAAAGGTTGAAACATAACACAGCAGACAAGTTTAGCTAGGATAAACCTAGTTTATGATGTCACTGCTACAAGAAGAATCAATAAAAATAAATCCTTACTTTTGCTCTGAGCTTTTTGTTTTCACTGGAAAAGAAACTCTCGAGGTCTGACAGGCTGACGCCTAAGCATTAGTTTGCTGATTTATGTCATTCTTGACTCTTCACTCGCCAAAAAAAAATCTGCCTGCAGCAGATGCGGTAGTTTTTCCAGCTAAAGCTCCACTACTCTGAATATTTGTTTAAAATTCAGTTTAAAAATGTAAACAAAGGTTGAACTTCCCATGCCACACCACTAAGTGAAAACGTCCAAATTAACAGCATCAAAACAGAAAAATCTTAGCTTGGATAAAGATTCTCCTATAAAAACTGTAGCTTGTTATTGTTGTTGGATGCTGATTATAGTTGTCTTTCCGTTACGAACAATTTTAGCATAAAATCAAAATTTAACAGTGACGGTAACAACATAAAAACTGGTAAAACAGCTCTATTGTTGTTGTGGTTTCTAAGCCACAAAGTGATGCACAAAACAAACAAAAAAGTTGCTTTACATTGTTTTAACACAAATACCACATAAGGCACATTACGCACTCACTGAAAAACTATTATACACCAAAGGATCGGACAAGCAAAGACCTTGTTTTAATTTTGACCTTGATTTGTGACCTTAAGCTTGAAGCTGGGGGTTGAAAAGACTACGTGACACACTGTCTAGTCGTGGTACAAATGTGCAACAAGTTACAAAAGATTATCTTGAGCAAATAAGATGGTATGGCCCGGACAAGCAAAGACCTTATATGACTTTTGACCTTGATTTGTGACTTTGACCTTGAAGCTAGGGTGAGGAAAAGTGTATGCAATACTTCATCTAGTGATGATGCAATTGTATATTGATTGTTAAAATATCTGGGCGGATCAGAACTTATAAGAGCAAGTTTACGGAGATTAAACCGTAATATGTTCGTCTTTCAGACTTCTCCTCTGGCTCTCGCTCAAGAAGGACGCCTCTGCTCTTCCTCCCCCTGTTCTCCTCTTCTGCTTTTGCTGTGTGTCTTTGAGCCCCTGGTACACATCTCTCGAATGAAAAATACTATTATGGATGTGGTGAGCTGGACTTTCAATGCAATCGACAAAATCATTTCAACAAAATGACAGGGTCCTGGAGAACCCTCTTGTCCGGCAGAGACTCACGCTGCAGGGTACATCAGAGATCCGTGGGGAGTTTGGTAGCTGATGTGCCTCTCAGTTCTGTCTCAGGAGGACGCTGAAGACGTTTATATATTTGGATTTATGACAGCAGGGGTTCTGCTCTTTGGCATCAGCGGGGCTCTGTTCTATCAACTTTTGAAGAAGACATCAGCAGCAGTTTTGGCCATGGCAAAGCTTCCAAGTCTGTGTGAAGGTTTGGTTCGTGCTATGTGTATTTTATGAGTACAGCGCTTTGTGATTTTATGTCTGTGATAAGTGCTCTATAAATAAACTTTACTTACTTACTTACTATGAGTATTCAAAATCAGCTGATTTACGAGCTAAACCGTAAGATGGAGGCAATTTGTGAGAATCGCAGGCCACCTGCGGCTTCTAGGACTCGCCAGCATGTTGGGATCGACCTTGAGGAAGGCCCATAACACGGATCAGTGGAGTGGATACCCATAAAGCTGGTCATTCTGGACCTGGAAAGTTCCAGCAGGACTCAAGGCTGACAAGAAAAAAACAGTTTGCCTGAAGAAAATCAACAATTGTGGTGTATCTGACTCCGTTTGGCCTCGGATATATTAAATTTCTCCTGGGACATGGGTAACTATGGACAAAGCTTCATATATCGCACCTCCCCCCCACCCTGAGAACTTCTGTGCAGGCTTATCAGAACTGCATGGACAAATCTTAACGTCTTGACATCAAATGCATATGTAATGTGTGATAAATGTGTTCGCTGGCAGAGTTTTTTTGATGTCTCAAATCGTGTCCTGATAGGACAAGATGTGAAGAGGTAATCTTTGTAATACCACTACTATCATGGCTCTTACCTTTTTCTATCTAAAAGTATTCTAATAAAGAATAAGGGGTTGCGCTATTATAGCAGCAGCAACGTGCACTCCGTCCATCTTTTGGACGACTGTACAAACATAATTTCACTGTTTCCCGGTACAATGATAATAAAGCTTATCTGATTCTTATTTCAACTGGCGTATAAATAATAATAATAAAAAGCTGTTGTTTTTTTACTAAAAACTATGTGTACATGAGGTGTAAATGCTGCAGAAACTCAAAGTTTTTTAAGTATTTTGCGTGGTGTTGAATGAGGGACTTGGTTAAATGTTGATGTTCTGTGTATTTACCTTGCAACGGCATTCTCCGGTGGTTTTGTTGCAGTCTTTGTGAAACCCTTTGCTTGTATCACAGTTACAGGGCCCGCACATCGGACTGCCCCACCATCCCTGAGGACACGGCTTCTCCACTCTGCCACGAAAGACAACGACTCAATAGGGTTCGACTCATAATCTAAACTGAAACGCATCCAGGTTTTGTTTTCATTAACGTTCCCAGAACAAAGAATGGTTCTGACACGATACCGACTTTAAATCAGGTGAAAAAATATCAACTCGCTATCAGTCTATCTGTTCCATTTATCTTCAAATGTGAACTTTCAGAATAAACTTCCTCTGCAGCTGAAAGCCCTGGCTGCTGTGTGATCTGATAGCATCAGCATGAGGGCAGGAAAGACTGAACACCTGTAGGGGATCAGACAAGCACAGAAGGGGGAATCCCACATCATGCTAAAGACAGGAAGTGATGCGTGTCATAAGGGTTAGAGGAAAATGACTGACTCCTGATGAGGTGTCTGAATCACTTGAACTCCCACATCATAGCTCTCCACTATCGAGCTCAGATTACTGACTGTCGGAGTGGCAATGTTACAAAAAAAGCAGCTTCGATTTATTTATAACATCTGGGAACTGTTTACTGCGTGCGTATGTCGACGACTCGATCCTTGTTTTCGTTTTATACCTCACACACACGTTATGGAAGGAATCTCACTTGTTTTCACAGTACTGGCCGTAAAAGTCCTGGCCACACTCGCAGGTGTATCCATGGGAGGAGCTCGGCTTGCGCACACATGTAGAAACATGCTGACAGGGGTTGAGTCGGCAGGCGTCCACACAGTCCTTCCCGACGTATCCTACGTGACAGGCAGCGAGGACGGAATGAGAATGGGAGCGAATGCAACGCGCGGGGCGTGTGAAGTCTTTTGGATTACCTGGGTCGCAGACGCAGCTGTGCGTGCTCCAGTCGTTGCTGCAGTGGCTGTGCTCGGGGCAGATGTTGGAGTCGCAGGGGTCTTCCAGGTTGCAGCCCTCCTCCACGTGGATTTTCAAGCCCTGAGCCATGTTCACGTTGGCCACGTTGGTGGAAGTCTCACCCATACGCACACCCTGATCGACAGCGATGATTCAGATGCTCAAAAATATAAAACACTGAACAGAATGTGGTTTGAAAAAATAAAAAATAAAAACTTGGAAAGAAAATTTGGCAGACTGAAGCAACGTTCAGCAGGCACCCACCTGTATACAGCCAACAAATCCTTTGTTGACGAGGTTTCTCTCCCCGGGCAGCCCTCCAACATGAAGAGTCTGCAGCTTCAGGCCTGGCAGGTCGTTCCCGATCTCCACAGACTTCTGCTTCAAAACACAATTTAAAAAAGTCAACAACTTGCAGTAAATACAGCGCATGTGAACCCCTTTTCATAATGTTCCTCCTGCTTCCACTTAATTCAACAAACTTAAAATATTTCACCATCAAATGAGACGCTCCTTAATGGAGTAGATGTGGCGTCAGTGACAACTCTTTATGTCTATTATTGCATGTACAGCCAAAAATAAAAATAAAAATAAACCTCTAATGCGACAACTTTGTCTTAAGTTATTTATTTATGTTTGTTAAACCCTGTATCTGACTACAACTGTTAAAACACTAGCTGGCAACTCAAAAGAATTGTGAGAAAATAAGCTTTTTTTTGTTTGTTGCTGTTTCGCTGAATCGCTTGCAAATGAGCAACTAGAAACCTGTGAGTATGGGGTCAGAGCACTGTCAAAATAAACGTGCATGTAAAGACAGAAATGTGCGCATGTTAGTCAATAGTTGTGCATAACTAGAATTTGTACGTTTTGTACGTTTCCTTTATGAAAATACAATTTTAAAAGTTACAACGTCACAAACTTGTAAATACAAACTTCAAATTTACAGTTGCGGTTAACTATTTATGAATACAAAGAACTATGACCGTTTGTGAATACAAATTTTTTTTAACTGATCTTACGCCATGGGGTCACAGGCTGGTTAATGGAGCACAGAACACATTGATCCGCGTTGCGCATACATTCTTAATGCTTTCTTTGTTTCAACTTTATAGGAATTTCTTTTAAGAAAATGAAAACAAATCACCAATGGGTTGTCAGTATACACAGGAGAAATGTTAGCCGTTCTATTAGCAATACAGTGGGTGGAAGACAAAACCATTAAAAACAATAAGTACCAGCACACATTGGAATAAAAGGAAACGAGGTGACCGTTAAGATGGCAAAGAAGGCAACTTAAAATCATATTAACTTCACAGGACATACGAGAAATCAGAGGCGAGGAGTATCAAACAAAAACTGAAGAAAGAACGTTCATGCTCAATAATCCAGGTAGATAAATCCAACAAAGTTAAGTGCAGAGGACCTGATTTAACTTTGCTGAAGAAAGAATGGCAGAAAAGGTGGTGTGTAGAAAGAAAAGGAAGATGGTTTTATAAGAAGAAAAGGCAGTGGGAGAAACGAGAACTGGAATGAATCTGAACGCGTATCGATGTGTTCTGTGCTCCATTAATCAGCCTGTGACTCCGCGACTTAAGATCAGCTGTAAATTTGTATTCTCAAAGAAAAAAATTCTTATTCACAAACAGTCACGGTTATTTGGATTCATAAACAGTCAAATAAAACTAAACTTGAAGATTGTATTTGTTGGAACTTTTAAAATAGCATTTTTTATAAATTAAACATACAACACATACAAGTTCTAGTTATGCACAACTGATATGCACAAAAACAATTGGGGAAACCCCGACTTTATGGTGTGAAAGTGCACGGTGCTGAGGTTGGACTGTGGAACGTGTGAAGTGATAAAATGGGATTTTTGGATGTCATCTGGTCCGTACCTCGTACATGTCATAGTCCAGGGACACGGCAGCCATGTATTTGAAGTCTTTGCCATCTTTAACGCTTTTCAGTTCCACCAGTAAGTGGTGCCACTCTCCGTCGTTGACACGAACTTGTGGGAAGCTCAGCGACGCCAACAGCTGCTGCCTCAGCAGGACCTCCATGCGGACCTGCTGCTCGCTCACCTGGAGGGGGAGAAGAAGGAAGAAGTTCTCCGACTCTCGTTCCAAATGTTGAAACTGAAATCGCTCGTTCCATGAATGTGTTGTGGTGAGTACGGTTTCTCACCATGAGGGTGATGGTGGACGAGGGTCCAGCATTAACCTGCATGAGGGTCCCAGCAGGCTTTCTGGTCCGGAACATGAGGCCCATGTACCACGGCACGGCAACGGTAACGTCCGGCTCGCTCCAGGATACCAAAGCTTGGCCGTCGAAGAACTGAGGAGACGGCATCACTGGAAAAAATTAAACAACAACAACAAAAACAACAGGTTGAAGAAAATGAATCAGACTGGAACAACGTGGAAACCATGCGGGACTTCTCTTCCTTTCCCTTTCCATCCATCCCTCCCTTCCTTCATCCCTCCATCCTTCCTTCCTCACTCCCTTTCATCCATCCATTATTCATCCCTCCCTTCCTCACTCCCTCCATCCTTCCTTTCCTTCTACCCATCAACCATCCATCCATCCTTCCTCCCTCCCTCCCTTCCTCACTTCCTTCCTTTCCTTCTATCCATCCTTCCATCCATCCAGCAACCCATCCTTCATTTCCCTCCTTCCATCAATCCATCCATCCATCAATCTATCCTTCCTTTCCTTCTACCCATCAACCATCCATCCTTCCTTCCTTTCATCCATCCATTCTTCATCCCCCCTGCCTTCCTCACTCCCTTCATCCTTCCTTCCTTTCCTTCTATCCATCCATCAATCCATCCTTCCTTTCCTTCCTTCCATCCATCCATCAATCCATCCTTCCTTTCCTTCCTTCCATCCATCCATCCGTCCTTTCCTTCCTTCCATCCTTCCTTTATCCCTCCCTCCCTCCTTCCTTCCTTCCTTTCTTTCCATTCATCCTTCCTTCCTAAATCCCTCCATCCTTCCTTCCTTTCATTCATCCATCCATTCTCCCTCCCGCCATCTTTCCTTTCCTTCCTTCCTCCATCCAACCATCATCCCTCCCTCCCTCCATCCTTCCTTCCTTCCTTTCCATCCATCCATCCTTTCCTTCCTTCCTCAATCTATCCTTCATCCCTCCTTCCCTCCATCCTTCCTTTCCATCCAACCATCCAACCATCCTTCCATCCTCCGACCTACTCGCTGAAAGACAACTGCTCCACCTCTAAATGTAAATCATGCAAAAGATTAAAACATAATAGAGAAGCTGACAAAACCCAGGAAAATTAAGATAATCTTTCAATAAGTATAACATCCAGTGTTTTATTCTGAATAATCCACAGGATTAACTCTGACTATTCTCTTCTCCCCGGGGCAAATATTTCAACCAAAGGATTCACAAGTTTACTCAGAGGGAAGCTGTAATTATGAGACAAAGCACATATTTGTTCCTGTAGCAAACTGTGGATTTAGTCTGCACTTCCCTCGATCTTATTCTCTCTAGAACACAGAAGAAAAATCTTGTGCAGACAAAAATAAAAAACAGCCAATCTTCAGTTACCAGAAAGCTTAAGCACTGGTTTGACTTAAGACAGAAGACAGATGATGTGTCATCTCTGTACACATCTGTGCTAAGCTGAAGAAAAGCTTCTCAGGGTCCTCAATCATTCAGCACAAGTTTACAAAAATATAAAAAATGTGTTTATTTTAACAAGTGGTTACACTTTAGATGGGTTTAGTATGCTAACACTAGCATCACTGATGAAAGTGTAGACGATTTAACCTTTAATGATTAAATATTTGTTAGGTTTCATAAATGTTACATAATCCTAAATATTCACCAAATGGTAGAACAGATAGAAAAAGCCAGAAACCTGAAACACCTCGAGGCAACTCCTTCAAAAATTGCTGAACCACTCAAAAGGATTAGGCTAAGCTACTCAACGTCTTTATTTAGTGATTCAAACTCGCACATTCGTTAGCTTATATAACACAGAATGTGACTGAAAGTACAGCAAACCTATTTGAACTCATTTGATCAACTTGAATCAAAATGTTGAACGTCGTCTCCGACACCAAACGAGAGTTTAACTTCAAGGAACTGTAGCTGTGGTTCTTCAACACAGATTTTATTTTGAAATTCTTAACATAAATATTTTTTGTGTATTTGTTAAATAATAACTGTGTAATGTCTCATACTGCTGGATTATGTAGTTAATATGTATATTTTTTTGTGAAAACAGCTGCTGGGACAACACAAAGTCAAAAACAAATTTCTCCCAAGGGGATAAGAAATTATAATGTTTCCTACTCTACCTTATATATCTCATGCACGTTCTGATATTACAATTTTCACAACACTCGCCATGCGGCGGAGGGGATCAGATAGGAGAGAGGGTCTATCTGGTGGTCCAATCTGTATCTTCTGCATGCAGTTTGTGTCTGCAACATTTGGAAATCCTTTAGAACAAGCCCTTAATTTATACTGTTACTGCACTTTACTGACATTACTTATGCAAGAAATTTTGATATTTATGATGATACATGATACGATATGTAGCCCTATAATATATCATTATCATATTGTATCGCCCTATATCATTATCGTATCGTATCAACCTATAATATATCATCATATTGTATCACTCTATACTATATCAATGTCATATCGTATTGTCCTATAATATATCATTATTGTATCGTATTGTCCTATAATACATGAATATCGTATTGTCCTATAATATATCATTATTGTATCGTATCGCCCTATAATATATCATTATCACATCGTATCGCCCTATAATATATCATTATCGTATTGTATCGCCCTATAATATATTATTATCGTATTGTATCGCCCTATAATATATAATTATCAGATCATATTGCCCTATATCATTATCATATTGTATCACCCTATAATATCTCATTATTGTATCGTATTGTCCTATAATATATCATTATCGTATCGTCCTATAATATATCATTATTGTATTGTATCGCCCTATAATATATCATTTCACATCGTATTGCCCAATAATATATCATTATCGTATTGTATCGCCCTATAATATATCATTATTATATTGTATTACCCTAGAATATATCATTATCGTACTGTATCGCCCTATAATATATCATCGTATCATATCGCCCTATATCATT